GCACGTGTATATGTAATATCATCCTCACACTCTTACCCAGCCTTCAGATAAAGGTTCGATTTATTGGGCTACATGCTCTAAAAGATCTTTTGCAAATACTTAAGTGTCTATATCAACACATCCGCCATTCTTTAAAGATCATTTTGATATGCTCTTGTTTCCATGACTAATTTTGATAAATGGAATTGTCTAGACGCTCATGGTTTTCTCAAGACCTCATTCTGTTTTCTCACCTCGTCAATTCTCACAACCATTTACCAGCGGTTTACCACCCCCATGGTTTGGGGGGAAAGTTGCCAAAGTGATAAAAAGCAAAGGCCTGCTACCTAAAACTTCAGCTCTTGCATTCTGGCTGAACACGAAGGAGCAGGCTTTGAAACCTGCTTTAAATAACAAAGAGGTTATCACAGGAACCTTCCAGCTGCCCCAGCTTTGTGGCTAAGGGAAGGCCGGTGCTCTGACCCTATCCTCAGCTCTAATTCGTCCTGTAACCTTAGACAAATTGTCAAACCCCTCTTTGCCTCAGTTTCTCTTTTGTAAAATAGAGATGTACGTATCCCCATGTTAATATTACTTACCTTGCAGCTGATGGGGGTAAAATGAAATAACACCATAGTCGGGGCTTAGATACGTGCCAAACATGCAGAAAGCACTCAGATTATTGAGGTTTTTTACATACGTTTCTCCATTTCACAGCAACCTCATATTATTTCCACTGTCCTAGTGAGGAAACGGATGGGTGAGAGTTCAGATATGTTTTCCAAAGTCACAGAACTAAGAAGGGATGAAAGATGGGCAGACAGAAGGACTGGCACGGTCAATGCATGTACGGGGCCGGGAAACGGGGCTAGTTGAAGGCGAGGCCGGGTGGGAAGGCTCTGTAAATAGGATTACAAACCAACCTTCACCTTACCCGAGAGCTGGGCTTTATAACCAAACACATTTCCAGCGGAGGCGCCTAAGGAATGGCCTAAGGCTGCAGATTTGAATGCTCACAAACACAGAGCCCATAAGGTTGCCGGCTGGAAGGTGAAGAGGGGAAGTGCCTGAGAGATGGGAGGCGCTTTGTAAGGGACCCAGACCACCCAGGGCCAGAATGATCGCTCCATTCAGGACCCGGATGGCCTGTCAGAGGGGAAAAAAGCACAACAGTCATATGTTAGTGTGAGCTGAGAAGAGACCACTTCAACTTTTCTCAGAAAAGAGGTATGGGTGCTTGAAACGGTTAAGGGGTCAACCTAAATTAATTGGGCAAGAGCTTATCTTGGGAGGCTTTTGTTCCTTCCTGTCCCCACCAGTTCCGGTGGCAACCCTGCATCGTCGCCTCCCCCCCCACTTTGTTCACTCTCACGCACTCCTTTGGGAAGCAGCAGGAGTGGAGTGGGCATGTGGCCAATGACATGAGTCAATCCAACTACTTTGGGGCCGCGGGATGATGAAGGCAGACAGACATCAGGCCGCATTCTGCTCAGTCCTCCCCTCGGCCCAGTGTTAATTTAAAGCACAGACCATGAGCTCGCAGAGCTCGGCCCCCTGATCGGAGCCCCGTCCCACGCTGATGGGATGTTTTCTTCCACCAGACTGTGCCTCTGCATTTCCACTCCTGGGTCTAAAACATGGCCCGGTCTTTTCTTACTGAGCAACTCAGCAATTCCTCCTCAAGGGCCTAAATAAGGTTTTCCACATGATAGTTGTTTTCTTCTGTCTTAATCCAACTTTTTAAACCAAGGCTGACTTGCCCCAAGGGTTTGTAGTTGCCCTTTCTGGTAATTTGCCGTAGCTCAGTGGGCTGGTGGACAGAATTATTCACCACCTCTGGTTCTACCGGCTTCCTGCTGAGGTGTCCCCAGCTCTGCCCTACCAGCTTCTCCGGAGGCCATGGGGTCGTCGATGGCTGTTAATAGGAAAGAGATCCAAAGCCTTGACTTTCCCCCCATTTACCACTAGCTAATAAAATTTTTGAGTGAACAGGTCAATTCTGTCCATACATCAAAATGACCCTCCATGAATGGGGCAGGGGAGGCAGAATAAGAGAGTTTTCGCATTAGTTCCATTTGTCTTGGAGTAGTAGACACCATCAAATCATTGCGGTTGGCCTGGGTACTTAGCTTAATTCTGAAACAACAAAGAGCAATTCCTTTCTCGTTTTTACATGCTCTTATATACTCTGTAGGCCCTGCCTCCCTCCAGATCAATCCTGGACAACCACACATACGGTTTTATGGATCAGTGATCTTTTATGCAGGGAAGGTAATAATAATAGGTATCATTTATTGAGCGTTACTGCTATGTTCCAGGTACTGTCCAGCTGCTGTGAATGTGTGAACATACAGGGTGGGCCAATGTAACATTTTTTAATGGAGGAAATCTAGATTTTCTAAGAGCCCACTGGTTAAAGTCACTTCTCTAGCTTTCAGCGTGTGTTCTCACGTTAACTGATGGAGGTCTCACAACATCCATATGAGAGATGATCTTTTCCATTTTACAAATGAGGAAGCTGAGCATCAGAGGAGTTCATTAACTTGCCCAAGGCCACACAGCCAGCAATTTGAGGAGCCAGGGACCAGAACCTGGCTGCCTCTGGAGTATTTTTACCTTATACAGTCCCCCTGAGTTTATGCAGAAACTCACTGCTCAAATTCCGTATCTCAGGTGTGTCCAGACCGTCCCTCATTACCAGAGCTGGCAGATGAATTTGGGTGCAGCCACTTGGAGTTAACATATCTAAGGGGCATATGTCTGCATGTGTGTGTGTCCATGTCTACATTTTTCCAAATAAGTAACTATATAAATACATCTAATATTTTTTTACCATGGCACCAGAGTAAAAATCAAATTTTAAGAGGAAGCCATCCTTAGAGCTCAGTGTTCTGAATTTCTGCAAAGCAACCAAGCAGAAAACTTTTCAGACATTCTTGGTGGCCACTGGGTGACACCTTTAGCAGACAAGACAGGGGAGAGGGACTCTACAGGGTTTATCTTGGAGGCTTCAGGCCTTGACGGACTTCTTTCCTCTCAAGCCTCTCTTGCCATGAGTAGGAGGCACTCAGGAATGATCACTCCAGTGTCTTTTCCAGAAAGCAGCAGCCTCTTCTGACTCAGGCTCAACGGCTCCTCGCCTTAGGCAACACTTGAGAGGTGTGAGTGGCAATGTTTAGTTGGGGGCGTGAAGCCCGCGCTAACCACATCCCTGTCCCCGCAGCTTTCACTGCGCTTCCTGGAGACGCAGTGTTGGTTAGGAAGCTGGTGTCAGGAATAACTGCCTCGGACTTTGAGCTATTGCTTAACACATTGTTGGAGCAAGAGATACAAGCAGAAAAAAAATACAAGTAGAAAATATGGGTAGAAGGGTGGGAAGGGGCGTGGAAGGCAGGAACAGGTAGCTGGAGCCATTGCAAATGGGATACTGAAGAAGGAACGAGAAAGTGCCTTAGGGAGAGGGCAATAAGTATGAGGGGGTGAGAACAATTATACCCCTTGCTTTACATTTAGAGCTGTAGACAGAGCTGTGCAAGGCGGCTACTTCAACCCTAAGACTTCAGTTCTCTCACTTGTAAACTTAAGCCTATAGTACCCACCTTAGAGAACAGTTATTCAGTGCCAGAACGGGTGTGAAGTCGTAGCATCAAAGACCTTTACATTAATGGTGATGCATAGCTCTTTGGGTAATTAGGGTTAAACAAGTTCTCACAAGGCGCTGGTAGTATTGCCTGGCGTGCATTCCATGCCTTACAGAGGCTTCGCCTATACCCCGAGTCTTAACTGCCAGAGGACATGCCCGTTATGACAATGTTGAAATTCTTTGTTTGACAAGTAAACAATCATAAGCAACATTTTATTAAAAATGCTAACACTTTAAATTTTAAAAACTTACTGAAAAATATATTTAACAAAACGTTTCCAGAAGGATGCAGCACCCAAAATGTACATTTCATTAAGCAACTGAATATAGGAAATCTCCCCAGAGTCAGAAGTGATTTTTTGGTGTATGACTGGGCAGACTCCCTCTTTAGGGAAAAGACAGCACAAGCAGCTGGTGACAGGTTATCATGTGATGAATTGCTCTTTTAATTTTATTTTTTATTTTATTGATTTCAGAGAGAGGAAGGGAGAGGGAGAGTGAGAGTGAGAGAAACATCAATGATGAGAGAGTCATTGACCGGCTGCCTCCTGCACGCCCCCGACTGGGGATCGAGCCCCGAAACCCGGGCCTGTGCCCTGACCGGGAATCGAACCATGAACTCTTGGTTCATAAGTCAACGCTCAACCACTGAGTCACACTGGCCGGACATGAATTGCTCTTAAGTGGCAGGATGATACTATACTTGACCACCTCAATCCGTCAATCATTTCAAATATGAAAGAATCACAAGGGGGAGGAAGGAAAACCTGGCATCAAATTTCAGTTAAAGGAGTGGTTCTTAAATTTTAGAATATAAATTTAATTTCTTCTGCACTAATGACTCAAATATGATGAACCTCATTTTTAGGACTAGTTAATTAGGAGAGCACACACAAGTTAAAGCATCTTCACATAGAAGAGGCTTTGTCTCTCCTGGGAGTTCGTATATTACATTTTGAATTCTGCACAAATTTTAGTCTCTGGCCCATTTATACACCTATCTCTATTTTTTATACTCACTAAAAAAATATTTAGAACAGTTTTCAGAGGTTCTTACCAAATAGATCAAACTATTGTCATTGAGAACATATTGCTCAATTTATTATATAGATCAGAAAATAAAATTTAAATAGGTAATATGAAGTACCTAATAGTTAACATTAAATTAATAAGCCATACCCCTAATGAATAATAGTATCTAAAAATACACCTTCACTGAATCAGGGCCTTCACTGAATTAGGGTTTTTTAGGGATCAGATACCTAAAAAAAGATTTATACCAATTATTTTTCCATACAGAAAAACCCCCACATCATTTTCCAACAAAATCCATGATGCCAATTTCAAGTTTTCATTTTTCCTTAAGGACAGAGCCAGTTTAATTAGAACTTAATAATCCTAACTCTTCTGATGTTGCCTCAAAGTCAGCCATAAAGGGATTGGGATTCAACTTTATTTCATCTGTTGAAACTGGTGTAAGCCACACTGATTTCCTAAAGAAGAGAAAAGCAGAAATTAGGTAGAGGTGACATACTTGGTACCAGGTCTTTCTCAGTCTAAACTTGGAGCCAGGTTATTTTCACTTTTAGCACTTTTGAACACTATGATCATTTTCAGGTGTTTTAGGAATGCAGACAGTGCCTGGACCTTCTGGATAAAGATGATTTATAATGCTTGTGTTAGCAGAGTACCACAGTGCCCAGGCCTAGACAAATGGATCCTAAGAACAGCCAGTAAAAGCTGTCAAAAGCTTAATCTGACCCAGTGTGTGTGTGTGTGTGGGGGGGGGTATACACAGCAGTAAAATCCATGCACCAAAAACCTAATCACATTCCTTTGTTGGTCAAGCCTTCACGTCGTCATTTTTTTCTAAGGAAGGTAAGTTACAACCCACATAATAATTACTATCAGAATGGGATGCCTTCGTCGGCACTATTATTCTGGTGGCCTATGCGGAGGCAATAGCTCCAGGGCACTGGCTAATACATAGGAGTGTGTGTGTGTGTGTTCAACAATGTGAATGTACTTAATGCCACTAAACTATACACTTAAGAAAAAATCCACCATTTGAGCCACTTATGTATATTTTATCACAACAAAAAATAAAATACTAATTCTCTCCCCCCCAAGTGGTACTCTGATCAAGCCAAAAGATACTGAAGATACTGCACGTTAACTCTGAGCTCTAAATTATTTTTTGGTGTCAACTATTTTTATATATTAAACAAGGATAGAATTTTCCTGTGTTTTGCAGGTGGTCTCCAGAGTTGTCATTCAAATGTATAAGGCTCACTATAAATATTTTGGTGAGATGGTCAAAGTGTATCAGGACACCATTCCACTGTCCCGAAGGTCAATGGGGGGCCTTCTAGGGTTCAATGGCTCAGTTTCACAAAATTGCAAGCAACGTACATTTAAGTATTAGGCTATGATTTAGTGTTAAATTGAAAGATTGCTTTTCTCTTCGTTTTCATAGCTGTTTCCTCTCCCAACATGGACTTGAACCATGAAACGTATTGGAAAGAGTATCGTGAAGGAAGAAGCTTTGAAAGATAACATCGTGCTTGATTTTCCCACTTACTGAAGTGACTTTGCATCCTTAGTGAGTCTGCCTAATAGTTCAGTTACTATAAAATAACCTAGTGACACTGGATTGTGTATGTTTTGATTCTAAAATGAATCCTACATTTAAAAAATAAAAAATGCAAGAACGTTCACTGAAGTATTTGTTAATGCTGATTTAGTGTTTGTTCCGAGTTAGGCCTACGGGTGAATCATATGTCTATGCCTCTGCGGAACCGTCTGGTAAGTAAAGGCGAAGCAAAGGCATTCAGAAGGGGCCTGATCTATTGGACTCACCTAGAGGTGGAACACTCCAGAGGGATATTACGACCTTGGTGATGCAGATCTCTTGGATTATAATGCAACTCACTTTGAAAAAGGAGAGAATCCTCTGAAACAACCTAGGAGAGCACACAGTTTAAGTAGAAGGTCTTCACAGTAACAGAGGAGGCCTACACACGTTTGAACAGGAAGCAGAAGCCAGGCAAGCTCCCAGAAACGGCTCTGCCACCTTTAGGTACCTGCGAGGGTCTGACAACCCACCAGGGCAGAAGAGGAGTGTTATCTGGAAGAGTGGATCGAAAATGCCCGGGAAAATAATCTTAATAGTACCAAAAAGTGACTTACACTGCCACTTAGAGCCACCTTTGTGATTTACTAATGAAAAGGTTCTTTTGAGAAAGATAATTGGAGGTAAAATAATAGAGTAGTTCACCAACCCCCTGTGTATCCTAGGCCAATTATTAAAGCACCATCCAAAGCTCCAGTTCCCTTCTTTCTAAAATGAAGACAAGACCTATTCATAGGTGCCTGTTATAATTAGTCATTGGCCTGAAATATTTTTATAGTATGACTATAAAGTGTTTAAATAAGAAAATGTAAAAAAAAAAAATATAATATCCCAGGATAAAAATACAATTTAAGATTTGTGTCAGCTAAATAATCGACAGATTTTATTCCAATGAAAATCTACTCCCCCTATTGACACGTCCTCACAGAACATGGACAGGTTCCAGTGATCTAAGGTTGAGTATGATATACCTGCCCAGGACTGGGGACCTTCCACATGGAAGGAGCTGTCAATGAAATTTAAAACTGTCTGCTAGGCTGTAGTGACTATTGTATTTAATAGTAGCCTGAAGGTAGCTTAAAATCAGCTCCCTAACCAGTGGTTTAATCTGTGCTATAAGGTCCTGTGCACGTACATGGCCCAATATTCATTGAATCATAAATAAGAAGCTGTGTTGTTATTTATTCATAAGTCATTATAAAAATAGGAGCAAAATTTGTTCTTTAAAAAAACAACACAATTTTTGCACCGGGCATAAAGGCCTGAAAAATTATTTACTTATAAGTTATTTTTATAAGTAATCACTATTCTCACCTGCATCCTGATACCACAATCAGAAACAGGATATGTAAAATCATATACATATGGTTGGATCCGCGTCACAGGACAGCCCGATCCCAGGTATAACTCATCGGGGAATATATGCCGATGCCCCGTGTATGTGTGCGGGGCCACTTGGACCACCATCCAGTCCAGAGTACAAGCTATTTTCACTGCAGAAAGAATCATACGGCGACGTGTCAGACGAGAATTTATCTGAAGGAAGAGCCCAAAGGACATTCAGCTCTGACCTTGGTCATAAATTAAAGAGAATCAACCTTCAGTCAATCGATGAAAGGTAAACACAGCTTGTACTATACCAAGTTTTCCTATTACCACTATTTTCTAAAACACCTACATAATTATATCCCCAAATAACTAGATTTCAGTTATTTCACAGAAAAGAAAATCAACACATAAGAACACAAAAAGAAGAAAACAACAAACCAAAGGCCAAAACAGCAACAGCAAGCGGTAAGAAGCGGTGCGGGGGAGCCCTGCGGTTCCGGAGGGAGGAAAGCGCCCAGGGCGCCCGAAAGCCACCACGGGGAAAGGCGGTGGCCGAGCGAGGGACAGCCATGCTGCGGGGTGGCCCGCGGGAAAGGAGCCAACGGCCGTGGGAGGCGGGCTTAGCTGTAAACATCTCTAATGACATGGATTTCATTTATTTTTAAAAAGTAGAAAACAGGAAGCGGGAGCAAAAGAGCCGCTTGAGGCCTCGGGCGGGGCTGCGCCGTTGGGGCAGGAGCGCGCCCGCGGGGCACCTGCCCAGGGGCTGGAGAGCGGGGCTGCCCCGGGTTGGGACACGTTTAAGACGCATGCCCTGCTCTCTCCTCCGTGTCCTTAGCCACTTCATGTGTTCTCAAAAGCGCCACAGAAAGCACTCGCCTGGCAGCCTCTCTCTGGAACCTAACGAAACCTCTGGAGGAAATGAAGTTGGTGGCCTCTTATCCCACCAATAAGTAATTCAGCCTCTGCCGAGGCCTGGTCATGCCGATCCCCACCAAGCGTGTCCCTAGAGGCCAAGCAGCAGTGGGGCCTGCTCAGCAGTGCTGGCCCCCAGCTACTGGCCCCTCAGTAGTGACACCCAGCCACTGCCCCATGAGCTTCGTGCTCAAGGACGCAGGGGAAGCAGCCGGGGAGAGCGGCCTCGCATTAGATCGCGGGGCTCCCAGAAGAACCAGGGAGAGCACGTCCCCCTGGGGATGAACCTCTCATCCCCTAGGAGTCGGCGACAGGGGGTGGTTGGAGGAAACGGCCTAACGGTGTCTCAACAGTGACTGCCTGCCGTCAATATTTTAGCATCTTGTGCTTCTCACAAATAAGCCTCACGTTACCCTGGGCAGGCGAGTCACACCTTAGAGAGACAGATTGCCTACCTAGTACCGTCTGTCCGGGGTGACCAGTGCTCCCTCGCACATCCGCTGCCAGGTAATAGTAGGAAGTCGGGTCACACGGTGAAAAGAACACTTAGCAGTTCAGGCCTTGCCCAGGAAAACTCCCAAACCAGTAATAGGGACTAGTAGGCCTTGGAAGACATTCGGGATATTCTTCAACACTTTGTAGGAGCTGAATCTTCCCAGGATAAAATAATATTTATATGTTAATGAGTGAGAAACCTCAAGCACTGTTTGAGCCTGGAAGTTCACAGTCTTTACAATTAATCACCATCAAGAAAGCAAGAAAATGCAGGGAGATGTTATGGGAGGGGAAGTGGGATTGGAGAAGGCCCATGTTCTACGTAAGCGATTGTAACCTCCAAACCACACCTCCCCATGTGTTGGAAACATCACTCTAACATCTCCTGCATAAGGTTATCCAGACGGCTCCTCCTACAGGAAAGAGGTTTCAACAGTTGGGATTGAGGGGGGATTGAAAGGGACAAGTGGGCAGGACATATAGGAAGTCCAAGCTGCTGGCTCCACTACTTTTTTTCATACTAATATTAGAGTCAACTTTCCGGTTGTCATTCTGAGGTTGTGTCTCAAATAGCTAACAAATCAATTGAGAAAAAGCCTGAGGAACACTCATAGCTGCTGTGTTCATTAACTGAAGCAGAATCTTGCTGGCACCCAGGCATCAAGTACCACAGCCGGGCCTCAATGCCCACTCGCCCCAGATCGCTAGGATTCTTCCCTGACTCCCAAGTCACTCCCCTTTCTCCACATGTGCTGAGTTGAAATTTTTGAAATGTCAGTAATAATTAACGGCTACATGTGAGCTGTACTATTCTAGGATTCTGAAAGACTCATCTTGGGTACAATGGAAAGATCAGGAACTATATGAAGTCCTTGCTAACAAAGGATTTACAGGTCAAATGGATACAGAAGAAATTCACAAGATGCGGTACATATATACAATGGAATATTACTCAGCCATAAAAAAGAATGAAATCTTACCATTTGCTACAACATATATGGACCTAGAGGGTATTATACTAAGTGAAACAAGTCAGACAGAGAAAGACAAATAACATATGATTTCACTTATATGTGGAGTCAAAAAAAACAATAAATGACCAAACAAAACAAACAAACTCATAGATACAGAGAACAAATTGGTGGTCACTAGATGGAAGGATGATTGGGGGGTGGGTTAAAAAGGTGAAGGGATTAAGAATTATAAATTTAATCACTATGTTATACACTTAAAACTAATAATATTATATGTCAATTGTAATTGAAAAAGAATTTTTTTGAAAAAGATTTTTAAAAATCATCAGTCCTATTCACAGAGCCTTATAGATATGTAGTTTGCCATAAGAACATGTAGATCTCTTCTGTGTCTCCCATGCACTGGGGCAATTGGAAAATGGGATGTAGCCTTGACAAAAAAAAAAAAAATTCACATGTCAATTCCACACAAAAATAACCCACTGCAAACAGAAAGAAACATATACGTATAAGTGATTTCCTAAAAACATAAAGAACACAAAAAGTAATACTGAAATACTGCCTTAGAGTAGTTGACATTTAGTTAGGCCTTGAACCTGGGAAGCATTTGGAAAACATAAAAAAATGTAGAATATTCCAGGTATAACAGAAAAGTATTGGGATCAACCTATGGACAGACCAGATATTGATTTAGCTTTATCTTATTGGCTTTGCAGAACCATTGATGAATTTGACAGGAGTGAAGATCAGATAGTATTTTCAAAGGACAGTAGAGCAGTATCATCATGGAGGGAAATATGAAGAGTCTGGAAGCAGGAAGGTCAGTTAAGATACAATCGAGTATCTTACAATACAATACAATCAATTGTATTGTAATTGGCTGTGGGTTTGAAAACGCAGATTGACACGTAGAGTCAAGGGTTACTTCTGAGGAACCTCTGCAAATGGGAATCAAGACAGAAGACCACAATAAAGGGAAAAGAAAAATCTCAGACATTTAGGCAAAAAGGGAAAATGTGTCCTCAACATATTGACTCAAGGCTACTTGGCCCCAAATATTTCTCTTCTAGCAAATTGTAAGATTAAATTTTGCAGAGAGGAGAGTGCCTCCATGGAAAGCCATCATTATGAGTGACCCCTCCAAGGAAGCATCCTCTAAGACCGGGCATTTACCATTCATGTTCTCAGCACAAGGCCACATCAAAGCAGAAAGGAGAAACAAGGCCTCTAGAGTCATAGGGACCTTCCTCTGCGCAGCCCCTCAGCACAGGACTCCTCAGGAAATAGGAAGCGGTAACCGGCCTAAGTGATTTTATATGGCCTTCCACGCACAGCTGCCTTCATTTCCCTACTCGGATAATCTGTGGGGTCCCATTACCACAGCATCAACCGTCTGGAAGCTGAGACTCTCCCGATTGCCCAGACACTGAAGTTCACAGAGGTGTATGAGGCGAAAAGTGCTGCTTGACGTCTGGGTCTGCATGCGAGGCCTGATTAAACCATCCGGGGGGCTGGCATGGCACACGGCACTGCCAACGGATGCTGAATTTTAGGGAACTATTTTCACTAGATAATTCTCAGGTGTTATCTAATATAAATCATGCATATTTGAAATCAGGAGACGACTGCTTTTTCATATCTGTGGGTTTGGTTGGAAGAATCAGTCCCAGAGACGATAAAGGGACTTGAATGGGATGAATNTTCAGGTGTTATCTAATATACTAGACAGCCTAAATCATGCATATTTGAAATCAGGAGACGACTGCTTTTTCATATCTGTGGGTTTGGTTGGAAGAATCGGCCCCAGAGACGATAAAGGGACTTGAATGGGATGAATGGGAAGACACACCCAAAGAGGAAAATCTCTTCGTTCTTTCCTCTGCCAGTTAGGGGTGCTTAGGTGGAAAATAAATGACTAGTACAAAACTTATGGACCATGGGTATAATCATTAAAGATGCTGCTTGTCCCGCAGAAAGAGAAGCAGGCGCGGATCACAGTGCCAGGGGGCTGCACTCCTTTCGATGACTTGACTCTGGGGTGGCCGGGTGGGGGGGAATCCATTTTCTTCTTGCTCCTAAAGGCCACCCGCATTCCTCAGTGTGGCCCCCTCCCTTGCGCTCCCATCACTCCAACCTCTGCTTCCATCATCACATCTGCTCCCTCTCCCTTCCTCTTATGATCCTGTCTTCCACCTTTTTTATTATATTAGACCCACCGAGATAATCCAAGGTAATCTTCCCGTCTCAAGATCCTCAGTTTAATCACATCTGCAAAGTCCCTTTAGTTATATAAGGCAACATATTCGAAGATTCGCTGTGGACACCTTTTCTTTTTTTCACTACCACAATTGCCCATGCAAGTGCGGCCCCTAGGGCCTGCCACAGGGGCCGTGGAATGGTAATAAAGGAGTTAATCCATACTGGGGGACAGGGTAGGGAGCCTACGATGAAGCAGTTGAAAGCCTCATATGAGAAAACATCAAACAGTCTCAAATGTGGCAGGAGGGTTGGGAGCCTACTGTACTGGAAAACAAGCGCACGTGAGTTAAGATCTGTTAGAGGGTCGCCACAGTTGGGCAGCTCTGAGGATTAGCAGGAGATAAAGTCCTTGGCTTTCAGTTGTGACCAATCAAGATGATGTAAAAGCCTAGAGGCCATAGCACTAGTTTCAGCGACGTCAAAGGCAAAATCTCCGTAGGTTCCTAAAAAAGGGCATCTTGAACACATTCACTGGTGTTCTTGGCAGAATTAAAACACTTTAAAGGTGAAGGAGATGCACCGATATAGANGAAAAAAGAGCATCTTGAACACATTCACTGGTGTTCTTGGCAGAATTAAAACACTTTAAAGGTGAAGGAGATGCACCGATATAGATATTAATCCACATTAACGCCAGCGTTAGTAGGTTGGCCCACTGGAGCAGGCTCAAGGCTCCTTCTCACACTGATGAAGGAAATTATGGAAACAACCTGCTTCAGAGGGTGCTCTCTGGGCCCGGCACTGCTCAGATGCTCTCAGTGTGTTGCCTTATTCCAGCCTCACCGTGTTCCCACAAGAGAAGGGCGTGAACAGATGGTTCAGCTGAGGCTCTGAACCCTCAGGTATCTCACTCAAGGTAATTCGGCAAACAGGTGGCAGAGAAATGTCAACCTGCACAGAGCCTGAGTATGGAGGCGAAGCCATGAGAACCCAATTATTCTCTTTACTGTTCGTTCCAACCTTCAATCACTACAGTCAGAGTCAAGAAAGCCTATGTCTTGCCCGGCCGGCGTGGTTCAGCGGTTGAGCCTTGACCTAGGATCCAGGAGATCGCGGTTCGATTCCCGGTCAGGGCACATGCCTGGGTTTCAGGCTCAGTTCCCAGTCGGGGGCGTGCAGGAGGCAGCCGATCAATGACTCTCTCATCATTGATGTTCCTATCTCTCTCTCTCCCCCTCTCCCTTCCTCTCTCTGAAATCAATAAAGACATATTTTTTTAAAAATTCAAATTTAAAAAAAAGCCTATGTCTTTTCGGTCCCGAAGCCCAACAATCTTCCCCACCTAAGCAACGAACCCTCATTTGCTAAATCCAACTGAATTTATGTTCTATGTCCTATGAGAAGCATGGGGAAGAATGATGACAATGGGGAATCCACCAAAATTTAAAAAGATCCTTCTGACTTGTTCATAAAATATGAAAATAATATGTTGGGGTCAGTGTATTGGACAGTCATAAGGAAAGCTCGAGAGGGTGTCCATCCAGTGGTAAATCATGAATCTGACTGTAACAGGTAGAACCAGCTACCAGTGTGCCATCAGGGTAAAGCCTATTTCAGAAAGTCACGAAGGGAACTATTTACACAACAATTTTTTTAAAGGCCATCACGCCTTTTTAAATCACAACTGCTCTTCTATGTTCTCTCTTACTCGTGCCAGGTAATAGGCCCAGAGCAGAGCAAGTCAAGGATTAGGGAGGAAGAACCTTCTTAGCACCGAGGCCTCACCTCCTCTGATTCAGAGTCAGATAATTATCTTTTATTTTTATTGATCTTACCGATGTTTTAGAAAACAAGAGCCATTCAAGGAGCAATCCAAACCCCCACGCCCTAAAGCTACAAAAATTATGCATACAAGCCAAGATTCTAAAATTAACCTCCTCCCACCAAAAAATGTGTGTGTGTGTGTGTGTGTGTGTGTGTGTGTGTGTGTGTGTGTGTATGAATATGGACGGATGCATATAAAATGGGTATTTCCTAGGACTTGCACATTTGAAGAGGCCCAGGCCAAGTTCACGGCAACACTACCCCACCCGGTCAACTGACTGCAGTCCAGGAAGGCGGATTCTTCTGTACAAAATTATTTTCTAATTAAAAACATCAGTGATTTGACCCTGCAGTTATACTGCCCCACGGTCATTCATCCAGTTAACAAGTAAATATCGAGAGATTGCTATGAGCAAAATAGCGTTTTATGCTTAAGGAATACATACATTTTTCATAAAAAAAAAAACTACAACAGACAAAAATCTCTTCCTTTATTAACCTTACATCCTAATGAATAAGAAAAAAGCTTAAAAAGTAAAATATATAGTATGTGCTTAGTGCTAAGAAGGAAAAATAAGAAAGGAAGGGGGTGTATGAAATGTTGATGTGTGTGAATTTTTAGACGGCGTTGGGAGGACTCAAAGAGAAGATGGTTTTGAAGACATGAAGAAAGTAAGCGAGTAGCCATGTGGACAGCTAGACAGGACAGCAAGGGGAAGTTTCTGAGACAGAATGAGGCTGTCTCCCATAATGCCGCTTAAAGAAATTAAAGATGCACTCACACAAAACGGCAGCACACACTGGGCTCAAAAGATGGTCATTAAATACACTAGACAGTTGCCTATGGTAGAGGAGGGATTGATCAGTTAAACCAAGAGAGGGGCCTTGCACTGGCTAATAATAACAATACGGAATTAACTTGACCCTTGAAATCTCTTTAAAGATATAACTCTACCTAGTTTGATTTTGTCTAAAATTGGAAGTAGATGAAGCTAGGCTTTCCCAGATAGGAAAGAAATTTCAAGTCAAAAATGTCACTCTAACAGTGAATAATTAGTACCTCAGCCGCTCTATCAGGATGTTCGGCATCTCTAAAATCATCTCACATGGGTAGCCCTTAAAAGCGAAGTGGTCCTTAAACTTTCCCATGCATTAGATGCACCTGGGGAGCTGCTAGAACACAAATCATTGGGTTCCCACTCCCGGGGGTATGGCCCGAGAATTTGCATTTCCAACAAGTTCCCAGGTGATGCTGATGCTGATGCTGATGCTGATGCTGATGCTGCTACACTGGGGACCACACTTTGGGAACCAGTCCTTCAAGAGTCCTAAAGATATTCCAAAGATGACTCACAAATGCTTCCATTTGGTTTGATACAATAATATCCTGCACGTCTGACCTCAGGAGTGTGCTGAGGGCTTTCTCTTGGTTGTTCAGAGTCATGAGTAATCATACACATCAAAGTGTGGCATTAGACATAAACCCACTTAAGGCTTCTCAGATGCTTTTAACTTCCAGTTGCTTGAGGTGTTCTTAACCTGCGATCTAGTGTAATGAAGGCCTTTGTGAAGCTACCTTCCACTTACGTTTTTGATTGAACATTTTCTGGGCAAGAGCCAGGTGTGAGTGAACTTTGGCTAATAGTAGTTGAAAGGGGAGTTTCTTGACGACCATGAGACAGGGGTTTCCTGGCAAGTTGCTTAGGTTTGGTTGTTCTTTCTTAAAAACAGACTGGGTGGCCCTAATTAGCCTCCTTGCGTCCAGTTAATGTTGTTGAATAACTGATGAGTTCACATCATCTTCTCTCTTGGAAACATAGTCTGAGGGTTCCCAGATTTAACTGGTCCCTCCTCTTATCTCCCATTTCCTCCCAGTAAGTCATGCTTGTCCTGTCTGCTCCTCCTGCCTGGCAGTGATGAGAACCGAGCCCTGGACAAACCTCTACGTTGGTAGATACCGCCTCCTAGTGGCAGAGTCAGAATTACAAATACACAACCCCAGGGTGTGTGATCTCTTGAACTTAAGTGACTCGGCAAAGACAGAAACAGTGATACAGAATTTGTTTGTAAACATCAACTTTCCAGATTGGTGAGGAAATGAGAATAAGTGTAGTTATAAATGTTTAAATGTGATAGGTGCATGTCTGCGCATAGGACCTGTTTTCATGGCGTCTGATTCGGGGCATCAGCTTTGTCCTAGGCAATATTACCCCC